TATGACTTGTTTTCACTTTATTGCAGTGTTCTGGTATTGAACTCACATCTCTGAGGTAAGCCTTTGTTCTCCCAACCAACTATGATCCCATTTTGTTCTCCCAACCAACTATAATTCCGTTTGGGCCATATCTTTAGCACATAGTACAATGCCTGGCATTCAGCTGTCAGTGGTGGTTGCTATCCAGTTGATTGTGATTCATAGTGACTTCACGTGTGCAAAGTAGAACTGAGCTGTACGGTTCTCAAGGCTGTGATTTTTCATAATAAGTTCAGCAGTTCAGTCTTCCAACATGGGGTGAGTTGGACTTGCTGACCTTCCAGTTAGTAGTGGAGCACTTATCCATCTGAGCCACCCAGGGACTCCCTGGAATGAACTAGAGGCCCAACAGTTAAATGATTTCATGAATGTACAAATGTTAAGGAGTATATACAAGACCTATGAATTTGGAGCTCTGGTGGGGTAGTGGGTTATCTGTTGGTCTAGCTAGCTATTAGGGTAGTAGTTTGAAACCTCCAGCTGCTCTTCAGGAAAAGATGAGGCTTTCTACTCCCATAAAGAGTTACAGCCTCCAAACCCCACAGGGGCAGGGTTACTCTGTACTCTGTCCTAAGGGAGCCCTGATAGTGTACGGTGATGAGTTGGGCTGTAAGGTCTGCAGTTGGAAAAGACCAGGCGCTCCTTGGGAGAAAGACAAGGCTTTTTACTTATGTAAACAGTTGGTCTCAGAAACCCACAGGAACAGGTCTACCCTGCCCTACAGGGTCGCCATGAACCAGAATTGACTTGATGGCAGAGAGTTTATAGGGTCACTGTAAATCTGAATTGACTCCACAGTAGAGTTTGATAAATTATTTAAAATATTTTGGCAATGGCCACTAGGTGGCTCTTATTTCCCTAAGTTTCAACGGCTGCTCTGGAGAAACTAGACACACTCTTTGAACCTTAAGACTTTTCATGTGTTAAAGATTATCTTTTATTACACTATTATGAGTATTAGTTTATTGCAGCCAGCGATAGAACTTCATGGACATTTGAAATTCCAACCCTAGTAGATGTAATCTTTGAGTTCATGAGACCCTAGCTCTGAACAAGGCTCTTCAGGCATACCTGGCTGTGTCTATTCATTAAACTCAGAACAAACTTCCTATCAGGCTAAAACATTCAAACTACCTACAGAGTTTCTGGCAAATAAATCTGAACCTCAGCAGGGATTTTCTCCGGAGACTTTTGGTCATTCGGCAACAGCTGAGCTAATTTCCCCCAGCAGTTTAGTGATTTCTCAAATAGTTCTCCACGTGTGTCCTTGCATTATCAGCATCAGCTGGGAACTTATTAGAACTGCAACTTCTCAACCCCTCCATAGCCTTACTCAATCAGAAACTCAGCAATTGGTACATTAACAAGGCTGCTAAATGATTATGCATGTTACTGGTCTGTGCCAGGAAAAAACCTAGATTTTCTAAATTCCAGCCATGAGGCAAGTACTAGCACAATGCTCAATGATTCCATTTATAGCCTTTTCTCAATTCGTTACCTTAGGTTAGGCTAACTAATGGTCATTAGAAAGTCTTGGATACACTGGTGGGAAATGTGGAACAGAACTCAAAACCATGAGAGATCAGGCTTACTGGTTCACATGATGGGTGGCATCCCTCAGTGGGGGCCCTTAAGGTCAGGAACCGATCTCACCATCATGTTAGAATAATAGATCATTTAAGATCAAAGGGCAGCATTTATCCAAGGACAAAGTTCGGAGGGTTAGGAAAGATCATGGAAACGGTAGAAAGTGGGATTGGTGATAGTACATTGAGGAGATTGCAGAGGATGAGTGGAAACGTGTATATGAATTGTACATAAAACTGATGATGTGCTCTATAAAACTTAATTTACAACGAGTGCACCCATAGTCCTACAGGGGAGAACACTGGAGACACAGTGTGGGATCTCCGCCCGATCTGATCCCACCACACCAAGGCAAAACACTAACGGCGTGGAACAGAACAGCAAGGGGAACAGAGCAACGAAGTCCCCAGGGAATAACAAAAATAGACTTTGGGGCCAGGGCTTGGCACCCCAACACACTCGACTGGAAAACAGTCCTAAAGGCCAACAAACAGTCCCTGAACTAACTACAAGCTCTTCTTGCTTTTTTTTTTTGTCATTGGCTTGTTGTTGTCGTTGTTGTTTTCTTTTATTTTGTTGCTTGGTTTTGTTCTGTCTTGCTTTTGTGCATGCTATTATCTCCGTAGGTATGTCTAAATAAGATAGGCTGGATGAAAAATCTGGAGGAGAAAACTACAGGACCAACAGATCCAGGGGGACATGAGAGAGGGGGAGGTGGGGGGAAAGGTAGTAGTGTTAACAAACCCAGGGACAAGGGAACAAGTGATCCAAATCGGTGGTGAGGAGGGTGTAGGAGGCCTGGTAGGG